TAATTAATATAACCGGTTACGATTAATAGGTAAAACTTAATATTTTGAGTTCGACCGGAGATTAATTAAATTGTAGGTGTGTTGTATTTTCGAGATATTTGGTTAATTTCCGATTCCGGAAATGATGTGTTTGGTTTATAAATATTTTGGTGTTGTGTGATAATTGTTGAAATGAAATAAATGATGTTTGTTGTGCAATGTTGTGAGATTAATTCATAGGGTTGAATTATGGTGATGTATGCTTGTAATTGAGATAGAGGGATGTCTTGATTTGCATAATTGTTGTTGTTGAATTGCATACAGCATCATAAGTCGTATCAAGAGGCGATGTCCATTAGTCTCGTGGAGGCTAGTGGCTCGTCCCAAACTCAGAGTGGGGGTTTGAAAGCTTAGGGAATGGGCTTTGTGATTATCTGTCTGAGGGATAGACAATCGGTAAATCCGAAAGATAATAGATGATTGGTACCACATGCATGAGTCGTGTCGTTGTGTCGAGTCACACATACACACTTTGTTAAGCTGGTGTTTTGTTGAATATTATGCATTATGTGATAATTGGTAAATGAAATTGATTGTGTTTGATTTCTTTGAGTTGTTGAATATGGGAATTTGATTAAATGAATATATTATGTGGTTTATGCAAGAGTTGGAATAAGAGTAAGATTCCTTTATTTAATGCCTTTCATTTGCTTTAAATTACATACCTTATGTTTGTTGGAATTCTTACCCTTCTGTTGGAAAATGCTTGCTACGACATTGTTCAGGTACCGAAGACGGTAGTGTGAGGCACTAGCTTAGCGGATGCATTTGGATTGTAATCCATTTTATTTTGGTTTATCGAGTCGATGATCTGGTTGTAACACTTGGGGGTTAGGTGTCTGTATTCGAACTCGTATATTTTGTATATGGATTATACTTGTATATAATCCATTATTTTGATTATATGTTGATGTATGTATATTATGACTTGATAACATGTTGGTGTATGAATCGTATGGCTTAATGCCTTGAATTTTATATTTTGATTCCTCCTTTGGAGATGAAGTTATTATGATTCTGTTGCGTTTTCACGAAAAAGAAAGTATATGTCATGAATGTATTATGTGATTAAATGATTAAAGTGACGAATATGTCATGTCAGTTTTTCTTGAATATGTGAATTGATGTTGTGACACTCCTTCCGTGAAAATTTTATTTTCTCTGATTTTAATTATATAGTTTAATTCGGGGTTTATTAGAAGGGGTGTTACACTTCTGATGTTCAACTTTTGACTTATGACAAGTCAAACATGCTTACACAAACTGAGCCACATCACTCTTCATTTCAGGCCACCAAAACAAACTTTTCAAATCTTGATACTTCTTCGTAGCTCCTGGATGAATACTCAACTTACTTCTATGACTCTCCTCAAGTATCACTTTCTTCATCTTAGCATCATCAGGAATACAAATCCGATTACAAAATCTCACCACACCTTGCGCATCTAGCTTAAAATCACTATTCTCAGACTAATCGATCCCAACCATCAAATCTACCAGTTTCTCATCCAACTTCTGAGCTTCTCTGATACTATCTAGAAATTCATTATTAATCTTCAACATACCCAACATAACACTCTGCGGTGTAACCTCGCAAATTAAGCTCATATCTCTGAACTGTTCAATCAATTCCAACTCTTTAATCATCATCGTCGACATATGTAGAGTGTTTCAACTCAACGCATCAGCTACCACATTCACTTTTCCTGGATGATAACTCAAACTGAAATCACAATCCTTTAACAATTCCAACCACCTTCGTTGCCTTATATTCAACTCCTTCTGATAAAAAAGATACTTCAAACTCTTATGGTCACTAGACACTTCAAATCTAGAACCATAAAGATAATTCCTCCAAATCTTCAACACAAAACAACTGCAGCAAGCTCTAAATCATGCGTAGGATAGTTCTTCTCATGAGTCCTCAACTGCCTTGACGCATAAGCAACTACCTTACCATTCTGCATAAGCACACCTCCTAAACCCATCTTAGAAGCATCACAATACACCACAAAAGGCTCTCCTGGATTAGGCAACGTCAAAATTGGATCCGACGTCAACCTCTTCTTCAATTCTGCAAAACTTTCTTCACACTGAACATCCCATACAAAAGTTATACCTTTACAAGTCAAATTAGTCAACGGAAGTTCCAACTTAGAAAAACCTTCGATAAACCTTCTATAATAACCAGCTAATCCCAAAAAGCTTCTAATCTCAGTAGCTGACTTCAGAGTCTCCCATTGCAGCACAACATCAACCTTTGATGGATCTACAGCAATGCCACTACCTGAAATCACATGACCAAGAAAACTAACCTCCTTCAACCAAAATTCACACTTGGACAGCTTTGCATACAACTTCTTCTCTTTCAAAACTTGAAACACTACTCTTAAATGTTCTGCATGCTCTTCTTCTGACTTAGAGTAAATCAAAATATCATCAATGAACACCACTACGAACCGATCCAAATAAGTATGAAAGATACGATTCATATATTCCATGAATACTCCCGGCGCATTAGTAACACCGAAAGGCATCACCGAATACTCGTAATGTCCATAACGTGTTATGAAAGTCGTCTTCTAGATATCTTCATCCTTCACTTTAATTTGATGGTATCCCAACCTCAAATCAATCTTACTAAACACACGAGCATCCACCAATTGGTCCATCAAGTCATCTATTCTTGGAAGCAGATACTTGTTCTTAATCGTCACTTTATTCAACTGTCTATAATCAACACAAACCTCATACTTCCATCTTTCTTCTTTACTAACAACACTGGAGCTCCCCACGGCGATACACTTGGTCTTACAAACTTCTTCTCAAGTAATTCTTCCAATTGCTTCTTTAACTCTGACAATTCAGATGCAGACATCATGTATGGTGCCATAGACACAGGTCTGGTACCAGGTACAAGATCAATCGCAAATTCAACTTCCCTCTTCGACGGTACATCAGGAATCTCATCAGGGAAAACTTCTGGAAATTCACACACCACCTGTAATTACTCAATTATAGCTTGAGTCTTTACAGATAACGACGCTATCAACAAGAACATCTATGCTTCCTCTTACATCAACTTCCTCAACTGCCTAGCAGACAACATACCATCTTCCTCTTCTTCAGGAGTAGAAAACTTCACAGACTTGTCATAACAGTTAATATGAACACAGTTATGCTCTAACCAGTTCATACCCAAAATCACATCCAAACCTCTTAGCGGTAAACAAACCAAATCAACAGCAAAGTCTCTGTCGAATATCGACAAGGGACACTTAACACACACAAAAGAAGTAGTCACCGACCCCTTGGCTGGAGTATCGACGACCATTTCTCCATTCAAAGAAGACAACATAAGACCCAATATTTCAACACAATCAGCAGCAATAAAATAATGCGTAGCACCGGTATCAATAATAGTAATTAAAGGAGTAATATTAATGAAACATGTACCTATGATAAGTCTGTCGTCAACGGTTGTCTGATCTTCCACCAAAGTGAACACTTTTCCACTTGACTGAGCCCTCTTCAGTTTCAGACGCTGACTACCAATGTGCCCTTCTTCTCTACAATTGAAACAAATCACGTCCTTATGTTCACACTCAGATACAACATGTCCGTTCTTACCACAACGGAAACACCTCTTCACTTCAGCAGTACACACATTACTCTTATGCTCAGGTTTTCCACATTTAAAACAAACCACACCAGCAGGAGCATCTCCTCCACTAGTCCTCTGACCCTGAGCAACTTTCTGTTTACCTTTACCTGCTGGGGAATCATAAGGCTTACCACGATTCTGTTGTGCTTACCCCTCTTCTCACTGATAATCTTGTAATGAGCATTATTATCCTCCTCATAAATCCTGCAACTATCAATCAAATCAGCAAAGACACGGATCTTCTGGTATCCAACTGCCTTCTTAATCTTCGGGTGCAACTCGTTCTCAAACTTGATACACTTTGAAAACTAAGCATCTGCCTCAGCGTAGTGCGGATAGAACTTAGCCAACTCAGCAAACTTGGTAGCATACTCAACAACTGACATGTTCCCTTGCTTCAGCTCAAGGAATTCAATCTCCTTCTTACCACGAAAATCTTCAGGAAAGTACTTCTTCAAAAACTCCCTACGGAACACAGCCCAAGTGACATTCTCACCTGCAGCTTCCAATCTATGACAAGTATCTAACCACCAGTCATCAGCCTCAACTCTTAGCATATGAGTACCATATCAAACCTTATGCGCTGGAGTGCAGTCCATCACATGGAAGATTCTCTCAATCTCTTCCAACCACTCCAATTCTCCGTCAAGATCATACTTTCCCTTGAACGTAGGCGGATTCTCTCTCTGGAAAGTTGCCAAGCTACGAGATCCAGCATTCCCGTCAGCATTCGGTTGATTCTCCATTGCATGAGCCATTTCTTCTAAAGCAGCAGCAAGTGCAACATCATTTCTTCCAGCCATCTCAACTTCTCACTACAACATAAACAACAGTTAGAACTCAAATTAACAATACTCGATTATTAGACAACTATGACTCGACGATAAGGTCGGACCAACCTTTTGCTCTGATACCAACTTTGTAACACCCCAATTCTACCCTGATAATTATATACATAAATCAGAGTTATAGAAATCATTCAAGCAAACGAATCGGGATGCCACAAATTCTTCTATCAAAATTCATTGCATTCATCGTGAATATATAACACTTTTAAAACATTGGATAAACCATCATCATAACATCTTTAATTAAATAATTTAACATCTACGCAGCGGAATTCTTATAACATATCTATCATCAGTACAACAACTTCAAACCAACAAATACTTAATAACAATCAACTTAAAGTTCAACAACTGAATAATCAACAATCAAAAGCAACAAGCGTTCATCCCCACAAGTGTTACATATCAGAGCAATGACACCGACTCTAACTATTGAAGGTATACAGCCTTCATTCTCGATTACCTACACGTTACCAACATAAGAGCAACATTCAAACAGAAGGGGTGAGATATCTAACAATATAATAAAGCGCATGATAATTAATATATTAAATTAGATCACATAACATCACCACTTCTCATCTCATAATCAACAATAATCACAACAATAATACACATTCACAACATCAATACACACTTCTCTATGCAATCGTATAATGCAACTCAATACTATGCAAATGCATGTGGTACCATTGGAGTAGAACTCTCATCTAAAAAATTTACCAATTAATAGAGGCATCAACAAGGCATAAGCCTTCATCTCAATATTCACCAATTCAGGCCATCTCAACGAGCATAAGCTCCATCTCAAAATGCAATGTATGCGACACAATCATAAATGTAATAACAACACTATAATTGACAACATCTCAATACAACACCATCGTTGGCCAAATGCCTACATCTCAAAAGCATATCAACATCTCTTCATCAACATCTCATATCATTCATAATAATTCATCAAACATCATTTATTCATCAAACATCATTTATTAGTCAAACATTATTTATTCATCAAACACGATTTCATCAATAACATCTCATCAACAACTCAGTTGTATTTTAATACGACAGTAACTCATCAATTTCACAACGTTGGCCATAGGCCTATACCGGATATTGCCTATAATTAGTTAATAGACTAAGGCTTACTTCTAAGTCACCAAACCTCTACATAATGCTATTTTGTAATCTTACATCGTTATTACTATTAGTCCTACTATTACAAATCAAACAACAACCTCTAAGCATATCATCTTCTTTCTTCCTCACCAAAAACCAACATAACGATCAACACGGGAACTAACTCTAAATCCATAAATTTGCTACTAGGACTACACTTCCTATTATTCATTTTAATACTCAAGAATAAAGCTCATCGCGTTATCTATTCAACACTTCGAACGACACCTCAAACGGAGTCCGAAAACTCAAGTTACAGCATTCTCAAACTGATTCTGCCAAAAACCAATCAACATGGGTCGACGCATAACTCCTTGGATCGACACGTACTGCACTGAATTCGCAACATGAGTCGACGCATCCTCTCTTAGATCGACTCATATTGAGTCTAACACACAGCATGTATCGACACATGCTTCTATGTATCGACTCATCTTGAGTCTCTAAATCTTCATGTATCGACACATCATGTTTGGGGTCGTGCATACTACTCTATCCTGCATAATTTCTGCGATTTTCTCTGCATTTTCACTACGGGTTCCATACTTTAAGCCCTAAGAACTGAATCTAATCATAGATAATCATCACTTGCAATTACCCTATAATTCTACATCAATTAAACCGCACCAGAACATCATTATTCATCTATAATTCATCAATTTTTCATCATAAAACATCATAAACATTCAATTCATGAACAAAACAGCAATCACCTCTAACCCCACATACCAATTATCATGAACTCAATTATAGAGTCAGAACTCCATCATTACCTTGGATTGAAGGTTGCTCTATAATCTTCCGGTCGAAACCTCGTTCTGCCGTTTTTCCTCTTTTTTTAACAACTTCACGTTCTCCTTCTCAATCCTTATTCTTCTACTGCCTCTTCTTTCTATTCTTTCTAACAATAATAGAATAATCTATTATTCTCTTAACTCCTTATTGGGCTTAGAACTAATACACCATCTTATTACTTATATTCCTTTAAAACAAGCCCACATTAATAATATTATACTTCTAATATTATTTCAGCATTTAATAAAATAATTAAATCTAATTAATCACAACACAACTTCTCAAATGTTTCAAAAATAATTTAATTAAATAATTAATTAAATTACGGGCGTTACAGTCGACATGGATAACAAAACAACTGACAATAAGGCGCTTATTAAGAGAAGTTGCAGGAATCTACATTGTTCCTCTCTACCCTTACAATTTTGAAGTCACAAAACATTTTGTCGTCTCTATAATCTTCTGCACATAGACCACTCATTATGAAAAAAGTTGCACAAAGATGAACCAATATATAAAGATGATACAAAACATACCAAAATACAATCTAAACAAAATTATACAATACTCACATGGAATAGATGAATATGTATAAGGCATGGGATGAACTCGATTTCCATGATTCATATATGGTGAAACAATTAGAGCATGTCTTTCAGAAGATATCTCAGGATCCTATAAAATAGATCACACAACAAACACACACAAAATCAAAAGCATGAGCATGTCAAAGAAGAAGCAACAAAATAGCATAAAACAAAATGTAATTATACCTGTATGGATTGAGTGGCTCTTTCGGATTGGTGAGAATCAATCAAATATTCTACTTTCTTCTTTTTATTCCTTCACCCTTCAAATCAATGGAAGAATGATAGAACATCTCTAAATCACAAGGACAATGGTAGTGGAGCGCTAAGAAGGCGAAAAGAATCAAAGATGACTGTGATGTTTTGTAACCACTTGTGGAAAAAATGGAAGTGAAGAATAAAAACAATGTGATGCCTCAAACCATGATTCCTATGGTTGTAACCGCCGAAGAGAGAGAGAAGGAGAGAGAGAATTGAAGAAGAATGAGTTTGTTTTGATAACCGACACTTTTCGATGCAAAGAAAATAAAGGATAGCTTTTTCAACCAAAATATTATTGTCTTCTAAGAAAGCCATGTGTCACCACCAGAACCAATATAAAGAAATTTTAATTTCTTATAAGGATATACGTTACATTTTTTACTTTTCAATTACTCCTCTTTAACTCTTAACACAATCTATATAATAATTATTAATTTCTTAAAAAGATATATGTTACATTTTTTACTTTTCAATCACCCCTCTTTAACCTGTTAAAAAAATTACTCCTTTTTAAATACTATACATTTATTATAAATACTTTACAAAATATAAATCCATTAATGTAAGAGTTTTTTTTCCCTTCATGCTCTTTACGAAACAATTATTAACTTTTTCTATTATATACAAAAAATATATGTTACAATTTTTTAATTTTCAATTTTCAATTACCCCATTTTTAAATTCTATGCATTTATTATAAATACTTTAAAAAATAGCCTTTATTCTCAATTTTTTTCGATTTCTCTTTTTAAATTGTCCTCTAGATTGTCTCTTTCAAGAAATATTCATCCAAATCATGTATATATACTAAATGTTGAATATAAATGTTGGTTTTGATTTTGATTTGTAATTACTTTCTAAAAACAACAATTTTTAGTAGCTTTTTAGTTTTGTATTGTAATTTTTGTTTATCTTTCTTAATCTTCATATTATCATGACTATTCATTAGTTAATGTTTGGTTTTGATTTGTAATCACTTTCTAGCAGTAGAGTTTGTAGCAGAATTTTAATTTTGTATTGTAATTTTTATTTCTCTTTCTTAATCTTAATGTTATCTTAACTATTCATTAGTTAATATTGTATGATACTAACTCAAGTAATTTGATCTAATCATATTGTTGTTTCAATTGCATGTTTAATGTTCAAGAAATCGATGAAAAATGACATTTTAAGTAAGTTTGTCTCTAATCATTTTATTTATTTGAAATTATAAAGTTTGATTTTAGAATTTTTAAATATAAGAGATGATACTGTATACAACTAAATAAAATTTTATTTTAAATTATAAAGTTAAATTGTACTAATATATTGATAATAAATTTTTTTTATGATATATTTGTCTTTATCTTTTTATTTTCAACATCTATAATATATTTATTTATTTTATAAAAAGTCATATTTTAATAAAAAATTTATTTTATTTTAAAATAAAAATTCAACTAATATATACAAAAATCTTAACTTTGTCTAACATATCACCTTTAAAGTTTCTCTCAATTTTTTATTTATGGTTGATTCTTTAGTACACTTGAGTGATTAATAAATTAATACGTTATAATTTCTAAATTTATTAATATACTATATTATTTTGGACTGGGCCCGCCCTGGTCCAAAAGCAAGAGCGAAAGCCCAATCCAAACAGCTCCTCGAGGAGCGCGCGCCCGAGGATTCTCGTCAGCGTGCGCGACCACAGACTGCAGTCGTGTCCGTCGTTGCCCGCGAACATGGTGTCCCCGATCACAGAAACTCCAGCTCGAGCCCAGCTCGAGCACCCTCCTCGTAGGGCAGATTCTGACTGTTACCAAATCACCTGAACTCCGAAAAGACCGCATCTTCGTCCCTCCTCATTTCTCGCAGAGCATCACCAGGAGGGAGACCACGTGTGGGTCCTCACTACACACGTAGAACCTGGCAGTTCCTTTATTGGGCCCATTCTGGTCGGCCCAATGAGGGGACCTTGGCCCCGCGTTGGGGGCTATAAATACCCTCTGTTCCTAGAGGGTCAGGTATTCATCTTTTACCCATACATACGTTTTTTGCCTGCTCATTCCGTCACTCATTTTAGCATCGGAGTGTGTGATCGGTGGAACTAGAACTGACTGTTTAACGCTGGTTTGCGAAATGTCGCGGAAGCAAGAGTCGCCACCGTCTTTTATTTTCTCCAATATGGACAGGACAAAAGCACAACAAAATTCCTTATGAGATAGTTTCTCGGTTCGGGAGGTAGATTTATAGAAAGGGAAGGTGTTAGCACCCTTTCTATCCGTGGTTATCCACGGGCTCTTAGGTACTTGCTCTTATGTTTTCAAAATGTTTGCTTTTCAAAATGTGAGTGGGTTTGAAAAAGTTTCATTGAAAGATTCCTGAATAACTCTTGTATCGGTCCTCAAGAGTGTTTGAAAAATTGTTTTGAAAGCTTTTTGAAAAGTGTCGGTGTGAAAAGATTTTGTTTGTTTTTGAAAAGAGCAAGTATCTATGAGTCATCTACCTACCCTAAGGAATTAAGCTGTGTAAGTGTCCTTTAGGTAGTGCCATCCCACCATTGAGAGGTAGGTAGCACCACCGTTGGAGGTGTTCGGGTCAATTCGATTGTAGGGACAGTGTGGTCACCGAAGCAACAGCAAGACACCTTAGAGGCTACCCTTATGTCCTTGATCCTTTTTTAATCCGAGGCAACCGTTTCGAGGCAACTGTTCCGAGGCAACTGTTCCGAGGCAACTGTTCCGAGGCAACTATTTCGAGGCAACTGTTTTGAGGCAACTGGATCATGGACATAAGGACCGCTAAAACATCCTATACTTGACGACCACGTTTCGAAGGCAACGAGTGAGGCGTACCCTAGAAGTGGTGTGTGTATTGTGTGTTGTTTTCAGTTAATGTTTGTCTTTGTAATTAGTGAGCTACGAGTTGTTTTTATTTACATACATTCTTTCATGCAAGTTTAGCAGTTAAAGAGTGCGGAAAGTAAATTGCGGAAACATAAATCCTACGCTATTACAAGGCGCGGGTCTATACATCGCCAAAAATTACAAAGACCCGTTATTTAGTAAATAAGTACGGAAATTAAATAAAGCGATAAACCTATTTAACTATTACATTCTTGAAGGCAATTACATAATAATCAAATAAAGTAAATGCGCGCGAATAAAACAATCGGGAATGTCTAAGGGTGTTGACCCTTTTTTTAGAAAAGAAAATGATTTTTTTTGGCTTTTTTATGATTAAAGTGAAATTAAAGCTAATCAATGACTAATTAATTAATTTAATTAAAAGAAAATATTTTTTGTTTTTTTTTATGTTTTTATGAAATAAAAGAAATGGAATAAAATTAAAAGTTAACTTTTACCTAATTCTAGATTTATTTTAATTATTTAAGAAAAGGAATTAAACTTGCCTAATTAAACTATTTTGGTTAATATTTATTTACAAAATAAAATAATAATAATAATAATAATGATGTAATTCTATTTTTTTTTATTTTTTATGAAAATATGTTAATTAAGTTAATTTGTTAATAATAATAATAAAAATAAAAAGGTTAAAAATTAAAATAATAGAAAAACAAAACAAAATAAAAAAGGAAGTAAAGACCAAAAAGGGGGGGGGGGGGGGGGGGGGGAGTGTGGGCTGACATTTGGAGGTATTGAATTGAGAATTGTGGCCCATTTAAATCTAAGCCACGTTTGACTTTCATGGTTGCCTGCAGCGTGCTTGACTCCAGACCATGGTGTGCTACACTTTTTGTCCTTTGGATCTGCGTTGATGACATATGGCAGCGCTGGGAAGTGGGACTTATGATGCACCTCATATTGGAATCTGCACAGGAAAACGTTGAAGAAAATAATATGGAAATTATAAGGAACCTGGGAAGAACTTACAGCGCGGTATGAGCCTCAGGACTTGGCAAAGGTTGCTTTAGCTTCAGGGTGTGGCAAGGAATAGAACCACGTGCTTGTTTTGATCTGAAGATGCTCGCAACTATGTTTTAGAACTCTCACTTTTTGAATAATTTTTGGTTTTGCTCTTGGCCGTTTCTGCACACACTATTTTTTGAATGAGGTTGGGAAGACTTGTATATATAGTAATGTAAAGTGTATCAATAAAAATAATGGTCATTAAGCTTATGCAATTATGTTCTTGATTTCCTCCATAACCAACATTGAACCATTTGCCATATTTGTGAAAATTTGAATTTTCTTGCTTGGAATAGGCCTTGCACGAATTTGGAAGGTATTTCAAGGTGTATCAAAGCTAATCAACACAAAATATATCCCTCCATTAATTTCTTTGATTTTTATTTGAATTTTAAAGATTTAAAATGAATTAAATCAAATTAAATTAAATAAAAATGGAAAAATTAATTTTAAATCTTGAAATAAATTGTGGGACATGTGGGAAGCATAGTCAAGCTGAATCAAATGTAAAAAGTGGGCCCCTTTTGTCAAAAATGAAATTTCAAGGATAATTGACTTTGGCCATTTCACAAAAATTTCCCAACTTCTCCAATGCATATCTTGCTCAATTTTGAAGCTATGAACATGTTCTTGGACATTTTGGAAAGGTCTTGAAGTCCTCTAATCAATTCCTTTGGTCCCATGTCATTTGAATTTACCAATCTCAAGTTATGGTCTTTGACTTAAAGTGCCCTTTTGTTGACTTTTGAAAATGACCTATAATGTTGAAATTGATAACTTTTTGTGAGAGCATTTCTTGGACTTGGAATGTGAAGATGAGTTGTAGGAAATGTCTTCCCCTTCAAGATGAGAATTGTATGGGATTTTTATGATGAACCATGAAAAAGTTATGCCTTGGTCAAGTTACAGTTGACTTTTCAACTGTCCAAAAATAGAAACTTTTGACACCTTGATGATTTTTGAGCCATTCTTGTGAAATCATGGTCAAGACTTGACAAAATGATGATTGTGGATTCAAAATAAGATGTTGACCAAAAATTTTTACTTTTGACTGCCAAATGACCATTTTGCCCCTACAGTTGACTGTTGAGCAATTAGGGTTTTTGACTGTGCAACTTGACCTTGTGAGCCTTGAAACTTGACATGTAGGTGCTTGACAATGTTTATGAGCATATGGGACTTGATTGAGCCCTTGAAAACTTCAACTTCCTTGCAAGAACCAAAACCCTAATTTGACTGGCTTTAGGAGAATGGTTGACTGTGTAGCCCTTGAGTAGACTTTGAACCCTTTGAGGCAAAACTTTGAAGATTATGGGAGGGCAAATTTTGGGGTACAACAGTTGCCCCTGTTCAATCTTCTTAGACCTGAGGATTTAGATTGGCTTGTGTGCCTTTCGTGATCCGAGGGTGGAAGATGATTGAACACTAGAGTGCCCAGAAATTTGCACTCACATAGTAGAGTATCAGTAGTGTGATGTCGGGAATGAGCTTACAGATGCCATTTGGAGAGATGATGGATGGGAGGATGGGCTTAAAGATGCCATCTGAAAGTGTGACGGAACCTTGTCGGGAATGGGCTTATAGATGCCATTTGGAAAGATGGTGGATAGGTGAATCTGAATAAGAAATATAATAGCTTCCGTGTCTGGAGCATATCTAGTCTGTGTCTAATTGCTGACGTCTGAATAAATGGTAGAATGACTGCCGTGTCTGGGGTATATCCATACTGCATGAGTAACAGAATGTCATCCGAATCTGGATCGTATCTGGACTGAACAATAGAAGAGCATCCGGGATGGAGCATCTCTAAGTTGTCTTTTAGAAGTTTGAATCTGAATAAGCAATAGAACAGCGTCCAGATCTGGAGCATCTCTAGGCTATATCTGAAAGGGAATCTGAATAAGTATCATAATGTTGCCATGCCTGGGTCACATCTGAACTATCTCTAGAAGGAGTCTTGAATAAGCAAAAGAACAACATCCATATCTGGAACATGTCTAAGCTATCTCTGAAAGGAAATCTGGAATGAGTATCAGAATGTCGCCATGCCTGGGTCACATCTGGACTATCTCTAGAAGGAGTCTTGAATAAGCAAAAGAACAGCATCCATATCTGGAGCATGTCTAAGCTATCTCTGAAAGGAAATCTGGAATAAGTATCAGAACATCGCCATGCCTGGGTCACATCTGAACTATATCTAGAAGGAGTCTTGAATAAGCAAAAGAACAGCATCCATATCTGGAGCATTTCCAAGCTATCTCTGAAAGGAAATCTGGAAATAAGTATCAGAACGTCGCCATGCCTGGGTCACATCTGAACTATATCTAGAAGGAGTCTTGAATAAGCAAAAGAGCAGCATCCATATCTGGAGCATTTCCAAGCTATCTCTGAAAGGAAATCTGGAATAAGTATCAGAACGTCGCCATGCCTGGGTCACATCTGAACTATATCTAGAAAGAATCTCTGAACAAGCAAAAGAACAACATCCATATCTGGAGCATTTCCAAGCTATCTCTGAAAGGAAATCTGGAATAAGTATCAGAACGTCGCCATGCCTGGGTCACATCTGAACTATATCTAGAAAGAATCTCTGAATAAGCAAAAGAGCAGCATCCATATCTGGAGCATTTCCAAGCTATCTCTGAAAGGAAATCTGGAATAAGTATCAAAACATCGCCATGCCTGGGTCACATCTGAACTATATCTAGAAAGAATCTCTGAATAAACAATAGAATAGCATCCGTGGTTGGAGCATCTCTAAGTTATCTCTGAAAAGAAACCCTGAATAAGCAACAGAATAGCGTCCATCTGGAGCATATCTGAACTATTTCTAAACAAGTAACTCTGAACAATCAACATAATAGCGTCTATCTCTGGAGCATTTCTAGCTATCTCTTTAATCTCTTTAATGTAGATATGCCCTGGCTAGATACA